AGGAGGCTGATGCCTAGAGGTCAGCTCATCTGATGACGGGTAAGGACCATATGTTGTATTGGACAACCTAACAGGCACAGTCCCTAAGCCATATTGCTTGTTGTTTGATTAAACAGAAGGGGGGAGATCCTGAGAGCCATAACCAAGTAGGAATGTCGCATGGCATTTTTGGTTGAAAGGTGACCCCAGCAAGTCATTGAGATGACAATGATTATGTTAAGATGCACACTCAATTGGAGATTAGACCCCTGCTGTCTGCCTAGGCCTGCTACTTTGGAGCTCTTGCGGGACTTCAGGAAAGTTCCCATTGGTTGGGGAAGTGCGGTAGGAGGGAATTCCAGAGGAGGGATTTTCTGTTAGTCGAGCGTGTCCCAGGAGAACGCCACGTGCATGGCATTTCGCGGGAGTTTTGGAAATAAAGTTTGTTCCTGCTTGAGTGGCTCATGATTTTGTGCCCAGCCAGACTGCAGCACTCTGGGAGGTGAGCTTGGTCACCAGTTCCCAAAGCCCTCTGTCATGTGTGGATACATCCTGCACCCTGGAAAGTCCCACCATATGGTCCATCTGGAATGAGGGCTCCTTGGGCCTGGTGACATGCACCCCAGGCAGGGGATGGACCTTCCTGAGGGCACAGCCAGCTGCCTCCCCCAGAGAAAGTTGTCTGCCCTCCCTCCACGTCCTTGATACAAGCCTCACCACAGGAAGATTCACAATGAGGCCCCAGGTTAAACCACAGACCTGCTCACTCACATTCAGGGTCTTCTCCATCTGAAAGGGGTTTTCTAGGATGGTAACCTGCTCTGGGGAACGTGCAGACATCCTGGTTCTTCTTCCTTTTACTGGAGGGTCCCAGATGTGAGGTCTCAGGGACTCAGAAAAGAAGACTTGGGGCAGCTACATCTCAGTTCATAACTCACTCTGGTTCTTTGACCCCAGTGTCTTCTCCCTGGTGCAGTTGCCAGAGTGGTGACCTGGGTAGCGAAGCCCGTAACCTGCAATGTCTCAGAATATTCTGTCACCAGTGGTTACCCCTGGAGGTGCATCCATCAGCCTCATGTGGTGGGGCTGCAGTAAATGGGGCTCACTGATAGTAATGGAGGCACAATTTATAACCCCTCCCTGAAGAGTTGAGTCACCATGTCCAGAGACCATGGAAGAACCAGTTCTACATTTGAGATCTGTGACCAACAAGGATGTGGCTGTGTATGACTGTTCAGGACCCACAGTGAGGGGCCTTCAGGATGACCTCAGACACAAGGCTCCCTGCATGGTAGCTAAAAACAAACAGGGACATTAGGAGCAGCAGGGAGCTCAGACCAGGAAGCTCAGCTCAGGACAAGCAGGTGCACTGAGGAACCTGAAGGGACCAAGATGCAGGTGCAGAGAGGAAGCTGGGAGTGAGGGGCTTCCTGTAGGCCTGTGTGGTTTCCTCTCCTTCTGTACCTTATAGAACCTCAAAGACCCTGCAATGCACCTGCTGTAGAGGACCTGGGGAATGTCCAAGCTCCTGGCATGGAGCAGACTCTTTGTTAAATTTTCCTGCATTTATAAGTACATGTTTTCTTCATCTCATTCTCATGAATTTCTCTGAGAGGCAAACACACCTTGTACACAACTGAAAGTAGACTGCAGTCTGCACAACTCAAGGGCCTTTGGAGAATGGAAGCATCAGAGTCATTGCCCTCATCTGAAGGTCAGTCTGCTGTGTTGTCTTTAAGAGGTGCAGCTGCATGCAGGACTCTGTGTCTCTGATTAAGAATGAGGGCTTCATGCCTCACCTTGTGGTCTGAGGACTTCCAAACCTTCTGCTGCACCACCAACAGTCCTGGTCCCCTGTCTTCACCCCACCAGCATGGACAGCCCCTCTGCCTGGAGAGAGCAGGGAGGGGAGCCTGACTGGACTCAGGGCAGAGTCCAGGATCCTCAGGCCCAGGAGGCTTTGCTCAGGGGAGGGGTGGGCAACAGCATCATTCTCCTCAGCTCTCCTCTGCTGAATGTGTGGAGTTTCCTCTTTGAATTTGTTCAGGTAACTCCCAGGGACATGGTCACTGACTGAGTCTTGGTCACTGTGTGGAAACTTCTGGGGACCTGCTCCCTGTCCTGGTGCACCTGATACTCACTGTGCCCCTCTGGTGCTTTCCTGTGCTGCATTTCTGTTGGCTTCTGTCTCTCAGTTTCCATCTCCAGCTTCTGCTAACTTCCTGATCCTGGGGCCTGGGGATATTTTCATTGCAGATCCCAACATCCTAATCAAATGACTTTATGACTTTGTGATTCCAGGTGGACTGCAGGGCCCTGTGCAAGGTGGACCCTGTTCTACCTGTGACCACACCCCAGGGCTGTCAATTCAGATTTTAAAAACAGCTGCACATCCTGGGGAGGCAGGTGCAGAGGTCCAGGTGCCTGAGCATGGCCTGTTGGTCTGCTCAGGACACGTGGTGCCCCCATCACCCCACACTCTCCCTCCTGGGAGGAGAGCCCTCCTGATCCCTCCTGCTGGCTCTGCTGGGTCTGCAGGGTGAGCGTGCTGCCCACAGCCACCCTCTGGGTGAAGACAGACAACTGCTCCTGGGTCAGCCATGTCCATGTGCCTCTTTTCTCAGCCCCTCCCTCTCCTGACCTTGCTCACCACCACAGCCACTGTCCAGCTCTGCTCCTCTGAGGCCAGATTCTTACATTGACAGGAGACTGAGACCAGGAAGAGGCTGTCCTTCAGGCCTGGCCTTTTCTCCTAGCACTGTAACCTAAATTGGGCTCCTCAGCTGTGCACCCCTGTGGCAAATGCCTGAGGCCATCAACACATGAAGAGGAGCTTTCCTTTGGCTCCTGACTTCCAGTGCTCTAGTCCATGAAGAGAGGAGTCCACGGCATTCACACCTTTCCTGGGTGTGCCAGGGGCAATGCAGAGAGCCCACTGTGGGGACAGCCACTCACCTAGTTTGAAGGGCTCCAAAGAGAAAGAAGAAGTTGTGGGGTCTAAAAATCCCTTTGCAGGGCCTGTCCACAGTGACTGACATAAATTCCATGTGTCCTAATGTATCCACTACTTCCCTACAGTCCAAGTGGCTGATGAACAACTTTACCACATGGAATTTTGAAAGACAATACGCACACTAATCATTCTATGCCTGGACACAAAGCTCTCACATCCATCTCATAATGCAGACACATTCAGTCCTCATCCTTGAGTCCCTAAAGGCACAAATACTTCAGCTTAGCTCAGAAGCCCAGTGAAAAGACTCCAAAAATTTCAGGGAAACCGTACTGTGTGCCTTAAAACCAAAGAGAGCTTCTATGCACTCAAGTTTTATGGGAGGGCTATTGGCAGCCCCACCACACAGCCCAGCTGGACATACCCCCTGGCCCCATGCTCAGTGAGCCTAGCCTGCAGCTTTCTGAGCAAGTGCTCCTCACTGCTGGCTCCTCTGCTACTAAGGTCTCCTCCACAGCCCTGGCTTCATCTCACAGCCCTATGCATCACCTGCCAGGGTTGCCAGCAGGGACTCTGACCCCTGACCCCCATCTGACCTCCCAGCCCTTCCTTTCAAGTGATCATGTAACCCTCCCTGACTCTAAAGCTCTCACAGAATGCCACCTGCAAAGCCAGCATGGTGTGGCTGAGGACAAGGTCACCCTTACCAAGGAGCAGGTCCTGGATGCCCTTGAACCAGGGCTGGGAACCTCTGGGCCCCTTGCTGGCTGAACAGGGGAAACCATGCACTGGGCAGTCCTGGGTCAGGAGCCCAGAGCTCTCTCCCACAGGCCCTGCCCTGGAGGGTCTTTCAGATCTTCATCTCTGCCTCTGAGCTGGGGAAGCTGGGCCTTGTTGATTCCTGGGGTCCTGAAACCACCCTCCATCCTCTGGGTGCAAAGCCCTGGGCTGCTCCCAGTGGAGCTGTGGCCTCACCCTCCTGGCCACAGCTCCTGGGCAGCACCACAAGTGTGCTGCTCTCCTGGCCAAAGTGCAAAGCACCAGCTCTGCCTGCACTGCCCCTCTCTGCCCCTCCCTGTCCTGCACATGGCCTGACATCAGTCAGGGGGTCACATGCCAGGGCCTCACCTGTGCCCTTGACATTGTCCAGCCCACAGTCTGCTTTAGCCTGAGTGAGCCCAGCTCCCACCAAGTGTGGGATCATCCACAAAACAGTGCCCTGAGGTTGTCACCAGGTATGTCTGCCTGCGAGTTGGAGGAAGGTCTGTGGGGCACTGATGTCCAAGGTGAGAGCAACAGCACAAATACTCCTCTAACTCTTGCCAGATACTTGCTCTTGGACACAGTGACCACATCTCATGCTGCTGTGTGTGATTTTACATTTGTACCATGGGGTTAACACTGTCCTGGATCATGATTTTGTGCATGTATGAAAGAAATTAATGGTTGATAAATGCCAAGCAGAAAAATAGGCAAAAGTAATCATGTTCCCTTAATGCTACTATGTACAGCATTCTAACCAATGACACTCTCATCTGCCCTCAGTGCTGCTCTACCTGGGCCTCCACTCAGAGCTGTTATATAGCAGGAGCAAATGCAAATAGAGCCTCCTTCTGCTCATGAAAACCAGCCCACCTGACCCTGCAGCTCTGCACAGGAGCCCAGCCCTGGACTCCCAGCTCAGCCCACTCAGTGACCAGGACTGAACACAGCTGCTCACCATGGAGAGTGTGCTCAGCTGGGTTTTCCTGGTGGCTGTTTTCAAAGGTAATGAATGGAGAACCAGAGACACTCAGTGTGTGAGTGGACAGGAGTGAGAGAAAGAGTGGATGAGTGACAGTGTCCTGACCATGCTGCCTCTGTGTTTCCAAGTGTCCAGTGTGAGGTGCAGCTGGTGGAGTCTGGGGGAGGCCTGGTGCAGCCTGGGGGTTCCCTGAGACTCTCCTGTGCAGCCTCTGGATTCACCTTCAGTGTCTACTGGGCTTTCCAGGCTCCAGGGAAGGGGCTGGAGTGGGTCTCATACATTAGTAGGGGTAGTGGTACCATAAACTATGCCATCCCCTTTTAGGGTCGACTCATCATCTCCGGAGAAAATGCCAAGAACATGCTGTGCCGGCAAATGAGCAGTCTGAGATCTGAGGACATGGCCACCTATTTCTGTGCCACAGACAGTGTGGGGACCTTAGTGTGAGCCCAGACACACACCTCCCTGCAGGGAGCACAGCGCCAGCAGGGGGCGCGCAGCACACAGGGAGCTCAGTTCAGCCCAGGAGCAGGTGCAGAGAGAAGCTGAGGGCTGGTTTCCTGTTAGATATTGAGGCATTTTCTGTATCCCCCTGGGTCCAAGGCATGATCTTGACATATCATACATTTGATTCAAATGAGGTACGTAATCTTATTTTTCCACATGTACAGTTTGCAGGATCACATTGGTTATACAGCCACGTTTATACATAGGGCCATACTAGTGTCTATTGTATTCTGCTGCCCTTCCTATCCCCCCCTCCCCTCCCCTCCCCTCGCCTCCCATCACCTCTTTCTTTTTTTTTTTTCTTGTTTGTTTAGCAAAGGATAATTCTTTTATTTTTGCCTGGGAGGGATATGGAGTGGGTTGCTTTTTAATAATGATGTATTTTTTTGTTGTTGTTGATTTTTTTGTTTTTAATTTTTATTTATTTATTTTTTTAGTCATACATGACAGTAGAATGCATTTTGATATATAATACATGCATGGAATGTACATACATCAATCATATTGTCTATTCTATTCTGCTGCCCTTCCTATCCTCCGACTCCTCCTCTCCTTCCCATCCTTTCTTTCTATCCAATCTAATGCCATCACCTCTTTCTACCCAATCTAATATGACACATTTCTTTTTCTTTTTCTTCCCCCTCACACCATCTTATATGTAATTTTGCATAACAATGATTGTCTCCTACCATCTTCTGTGCGATTCCCCTTTTCTCTCCCATTCCCATGCACTTCTTGTCCCTATTTAATGGTAATCTTCTTTTCATTCTCTTCCTCCCTGCACTGTTTTGAGTCACCCCCTTTATATCAAAGAAGGCATTCTGCATTTGTTTTTTAGGGATTGGCTAGCTTCACTTAGCATAATCTGCTCTAATGCCATCCATTTCCCTCTAGGCAAGTAATACTTTTTAATTCAGTTTGTATGTTTCTCTGATGTCTTTGACAGAACTGTTCCTTGATTTTTCAGGGTGTCTGAAACACCAGGGCCATTCAGAGCCCCATGTCACAGGCCCCAGGTAAAACACTTGCAGAGGGAGGTTCAGATGGTTTCCTGCTATGCCACTGGGGCTTCCCCTCCATTCAGAGATTCTCTGTGGATTCTTTCCAGACTTAGGACGCAGGGCCTCTGCTCGAAATTCTACAATCAATAGTCACCACTGCAAGGGAGCAGAGATTCACCAGGCACAAACACAGGGTGAGGCCACACTTGCTCCTGTGAGTGATCTCAAAGTAGGCCACATGGCTCCTTAGCCCTCTCCAGAACTGGAGATAGAACATTCTGAGACACATATTCAGTCACCACGTAGACTTGCTCCTCAGGACTCAGAGTCAGACAAAAACACAGTGGGCTCAGGACACAGATGATTCTAGGCAGTCATGCCACCAAGGGCCACTGAGGGAGGAGGGCCTGATCCCTTATCATTTGCCTGATGTCAACTGTTCATCAGAAAATCTGCTGTCCTCAGGTCACAGAGACTCAGGACAGCTCCACAGTCCAGCACAGGGCAGCGTGGCCCTCATCACAAGTGTGCACAGGAAGAGCTCATGGAGCCTGATCCCTCCAGAGAGAAGAGCCCTTTAGCAGCCAGAGGAGGAGAAGAAGGTCCCCAGGGCTGTAGGGGCTCTGTGTTAGGACCTTCCTTCAAAACCAGGAGGGACATTTTCATGACAGTCCACTGTGATATCCAGGCTGGGGACCTTCTACAGATACAGAGAAATGGAGGGTCACATTGAGTCCCCAACAGTGATGCCCAGGAGAGCTGGGTGGGTGCAGCAGGACGCAGCTGTCCTGGGGAGCAGGGGAGAGAGCTGAGCCCCCACAGTGTCAGGGATCTGCAGAGAAAGTTCCACCTGGATGTTTAAGGTTAACCAGCACCAGAGGAAGAGGCCCCCAGGGGCTTTCTCAGCACTGTGACCAGATGTGGGGCCAGAGGGGATGGGGAAGTCCCCAGTCATAATGTCTAGGTGAAGATGGCTGTATAAAATGAATTAAAATAATTAGTGAATGTGGCATTGGCTGTCCTCAAATATTTGGTACAATTCTCCTGTGAAGCATCTGCCCTTGACCTTGTCTCTCCTGGGTTTTGACTCATGTGCTGTAACTGTCACTGCTATTCTGAGGCTGCTTACTGCTCCTAGGCTCAGCTGGGAAAGGTGCACAGTTCTGGAAATTCATGCATCTGCTTCTGCATGTCCCACTGTGGTCAGGGATTATGTCCAGGAGTCCTCATGATTATTGTATTTCTAAATCCTCAGAAATATCTCATTTGAGCAGGTGTTATAACTTTGCATTCTGCTCCCACTACCGTGTCACCTAATGCAAATAATTCTTTCCTAAATGGAGGCTGAAGAGTCCCATAGGCTCCTTGTTCTTTCCACCTGAGGAGTGCATTCACAGCACCTTGGTCAGGTGTTCTTGGAGCAGCTGGGCCTCACAGTTCTGGGGGCTACATGGTGCTGGGGCCACTCTGGCAGACTGGACAGCTGAGGGGCTGTTGGCAGAGCAGCAGAGGTGCAGTGTACATCTGTTCCCAAGGGTTGCCTGGGGTGGCCTTTCACCAGGCCCAGGTCAGCAGTTCAGCAGGCCCCATGAGTGCAGAGGTGGCTGTCAGTTTAGAGGACAGCACAGGGCAGGCAGCACCTGGGGACAAGGACGAGATGCTCTCAGCACCCAGGGCTGGCTTTGCACCTCCACAGAGATTCTGTGCAGTGGTTGCTCAGGGCCTGCTCAGCTGCCTTGGGGACCTTGTTAGGGGTTACAGGTTCCTGCAATGCCACCTGGGGTCCTGGGAAAGGTGTGTGGCCCTTAGAGCTGGTCCTGCTCTCAGCAGCCCTGCCACTCAGGGAGGGCCCAAGGCTCTTCCCTCCTTTGTACAAGTGTGGACTTATGCCAGCTGTGTCCTGTGTCTGCAGGTGGATGCACAGTTCCTCCCTGACCAGCACAAATCTGGGTAGGGAGGCTGCAGGGAGCATCCAGCCAGCTGCTTCCCAGGACCCTGGATGCCATCCCTGCATGGCTCTGTGCAGAGGAGCCTGGTGTGGCGCCCAGGCTGTCTCTGCTCTGTCTCCAGCACTACTGGGGACTGTTTCTCAGAAGTTCCCAAACTGTGCTGAGGGCTGTGGGGATCCCTGGCTCCAGTAGCACAAGTGCCCCCTTTCAGGGGTGAAGGATGATTGACAGGTCCTTGTGTGGCAGGGGCAGAGGCAGCCCATGCACAAGGGGCCCCACTGAGTGTGGCTTCAACAGAGGTCCTGCCTGTCACCCATGTGCTCTGTGTGGTGGGGGCAGGATGAGCCCTCCCTCCCTCCACAGTGCTCTGTCCTGCACCAGTGGCCATAGACTGACCCAGGCCTATGGGCAGGGAGAAGAGCAGGGGCCTCTGCAGCTCCCTCATCCACTAAGGCAGCCTCCAGGGACCTGGCCGTGTAAACTAAAGTGCAAATTTCACATGTGCTAAGTGTGTGGACGTTTTAGATAATTTTTCAATGTCTCAGACAGCAAATTTTCACATATAACTCAAGAATCCAATGCATGAAATTAAAATTTGATAAGCAAGAACTTGCAACCCTCCAGAGTGAGGAAGTCTTGCAGAATCCTTGTTTTCCTAGCAAGCACTGAGTGCTCAAGTCATGACCTTTGAATGATTTCTGTGCTCCTGAAAAGAGCTGTGACCTACACTTCTGCACTTTTTTCATTTTCTGTTTACTTTACTCACTTCCTAGGAAAGTTTCTACAGTTATGATTCCAGAAATAGCAGAGGTGACAGTGAAATTAAAAGAATTATGACAATTGAAATGTGTTATTTGAATTCCATGGTCCTCAATTTCCAAACAATTTCTTCATGTCTTATGTTCCTACAGTTGAAATCCTAAAGGCCCACTAACTTACAAAATAATTTTTCAAACATTAATTTAAAATCAGTAAACATATGATTAATTACATTTCCAGCAGGATGTGATTTAGGAATCTCACAAACATACAGAGCATTTCTGGGTCACTTTGCACAGCAACACACACTCACACCCACAAACTCAACTGCAAGCCCACACTCTCACCTTAGTTTACCCAGAGGAGCAGATGACAAAACTCGTTAAGGGAGAGGTCAAGAGCTCGCTGCATGAATGTGACACCTTTGGTTTTCCCTGTGTCCCCAGCTCCGTAGCTCTGCTCCTCTGAAATCCTGTCAGGAACCTGGAGCTAAAGTGAGACCCAGGACTGCAGGGCGACCTCGCTGACCTCAAGCTGCCCACACTGTGAAGGTCAGGAGCAGCTCTATGGAGACCATGCACAGGTACAAAAAGACATCTCCTCATTCCCTGGAAGGTTCCAGAATCCCTGTGTGTGCCCAGAGGCAAGGGGCCTGTGCACTTCTCAGGAAGCAGAGCTGCAGCCAATGCAGACACATGGGAATGGAAACCTCTGCACTGTCTCTACCTCAGGCCTCATCAGAGCTGCAAGGAGGAACACACGGCACGGGGATTGTACATAGAGGGAATTTAAATATGGGAGACACACACCTCCCACCTCGTGAGGTCAGGGGTGGGTCAGGTCCAGCACCCCAGGAGCTGGCCCAGGAGATGTGGCTGCTGTGGCTGTTGCTGGCTCTATTCTGCAGTGAGCTTCCAGGAGGAACACCTGCTGTCTTTCCCTCAGGCCTGGCCTTCCCTGGAGGACACGTCCACAATCTCTGTCCACAGTCACTCCTTGTTCCTGGGTAATTCTTCTCTCATCCAACACATCAACATGGTCCTCCCTGTGACGTCTTCCAATCCTCTGTACCCTGCATCTGTGTGGACACAGGAGGTGCATTCTGCACGCTCCACATGAGACCACATGCTTTGCAGACACTGTGCTGGTGATGGACAGAAACAGCCTGGACACGCCTCACCCCTCCCTGCACATGAGCCTCTCACACCATTGGTTATTTCCCTGGGATCTT